GTTTTAAATGTTGTCCCAAATTAATTCATGGGTTAGGAAGGATGGTCCTCATTTCACTCGACCTGGTTTACCTGGATCAGACATACATGGAGAATATTTTTTTGGAGTGGGTGCATCTACACATGCAATTAGCATGTACCAATAAACTCTGAGCAGTTTGTGCCAGTGTTTATTGCTCCCAGGTGCAGCATTTACACATGGGCCTAGGACTGCAGCATGTTGAGCTGGGGTGGAGCATCCCCAGCCACTTGCACGGGGCCTGGGTGGTCAGCCTGCTAGCCCAGAGCTGTTCTGCCCTGGCTCAGCTTGCTGTGGAGGGACTGGCTGAGGCACGAGGGCGCTACAGCGTGGGGTAGCTGGCAGGCAGCCCGGCACTGTAGCATCCTCGTGCCCCAGCCAGCCCCAGTCACCGTCTGCATATGCAGAACACTAAATAACTCTGCCATTGGATAGTACTTGTCCTGGACAGTACTATCTTACAGCAGAGTTAAATAATTTACTGTGCCCTAATAGGGGTGCATGTATAGATGGTGATGCTTTACTGTGAAGCTAACTACTGTAGTCAACTCCACAGTAAAGCGCAGGTGTAGATGCACCCAGTGGGTATGTCTACACATGCATTAATCCACTGTTGCTACTGCACATTAAGTTTAGTGCCTCTAATATAAGGTGTTAACTAAATGCACAGTAGCTGGTGCTACTGCACAGTAGCGAAGACACATGGCCTTTTTGTAATGCTTAATGTGCAGTAGATTAATTCTACTGCACATTGGCACATTAGCATGGCTTTGGCCATGACATCCTAAAGCCAGTTCTACTTCACATTAATCATCTTGTGTAGACATGCCCACTGTGTACATCTACACATGTGCTTTACTGCAGAGTTGACTGGGGAAATGGACCTGACCTTGCTCTTACTTACACCAATATAAATTAGAAATAATACTGAAATTCCCCTAGGGGAGAACCAGTGCAAGTGAGAGCAGAATCAGGCCCTGTTTTATAATGCAAGAACTTTTTGAACTCTGTAGTTTTATCTTGTTCTCTTGTGGTACCCATTACATTTATTCATAGAAAGATGTACAGAGACGGGAAAAGGGACATGACGTATCCTACCTGACTAGGACCTTTCCTACGCACTTCATCTTACAAATAAAAGGATTTTCTGAAAATGTGTAAGGCACTATAAATGAACCATTTTTCCAGTAGGATTAATGCTTGATCTTTCTGAGCCTATTTTAGTAGAGAAGAATTGATTTCTCCTGTACTATGGGATACTGAATTATTTTAAATTCATAACTATAACATTATTACTGACTAAATGCAGTATGGATCAATCAAGTTTTACAGGGCATTTTCAGATAATTGTCTCAAAATATTATGCCCACTGCAGCCTAGGTTATGATGCTGCAACTACAACAATAGTCTTCTGATGTGTGTTTGTTTTAATATACAATATTTGGGATTTTTCCAGGCACATTATGTATATAAAGACCATTAAAATTGTGTGTCTATGCAGTGTTTAAAATTCCATCTTTTTGAAGGCCCTTTCCAAATTGTGATGGTATCTTGTTTGGGCACATTCCACTCTGGTTACTTGTCTCCTTAATGAAGTACCCAAATGTCCTGAGCCAACAAAATGGCTCATTTTGGCTTGGAAGATTTCCAAACATGACACTAGACCAAGGCATGAACAATGCCAACTAATAAGGCCAGTTCTTGCTAGCCTTTACTTGAAAGACCACAAAGTTGAGTAGGAACATAGCTGGGAGTCTGTTCGGGGATACTTTAAAGTGTTTGTAGCAATAATAATTTAACTGGGTGTGAAGAAGGTTTGGGATGGGGTGGTAAAAGTAGCTACTACCTCAGCAACAGCTGATTACACCACTGCCATTGGCACTGTGGCAGCTGGTGTTCCCCAGTGCTCTCTCTCTGGCCTGTAGTGGAATATAACCATGTGTCTTTAACAAAACCAAATCTGAAAGTATAATAGCTTCTTCAAAACTATTGGTCTACTTCAGGGGTGGCCATAGTTACTCCCCTGTGGGAGCCACATCTGATTCTCCACCAAAGTTCAAGAGCTGGGAGGTGGCGGGAGGGAAGGGTTGCTGAGTGACTTGGAGTGGAGTTGATCAACCTCCCCTGCACACCCACCCTGCGATGGGCACTGGCCACAGGTTCGGGCTCCTGCCGCCGCAGCACCAAGCCACTTTGGCTTTCCTTGTGGGGAGTGCACCCTGGGGTAAGTGGCATGGCTGCAGCCCCTGTCCCAGCACCTGAGCTGGCAGTCTTGTGGGGGAGAGAAGGAGAGAGAAGGGCGGGCCCGGGGGGTGCTCCCCGTGGGGAAAGTTGGAGCAGTAGGAGGTGTTGGGCTGCGCTGTCTCCTGGAGCTGCCTCCGGGAGAAGGGGCGGGGGGCGGCCTTTGGCCAATTTCCAGAGAGCCGCAAGTACTGTGCCATGGTTTGGCAACCTCTGGTCGATTTTGTTACCATTTGACCTGGGACTCCTACATCCTCAAAGAACAGGCTGCTTGGCACTATGAAACCAAAAGGATAGATTGCCTTATAACCAGTCTGAATAGTCATCTGAAGATCCTCCATGATCAATCCTGGAGAGTATTTGCTACTGCCATCACTTTTTTTATTCTAGACAGTTCCATCACCTAGGTTGCAGAATGACCTGGGTAACCAGAAGAAGTGGTCTGCAATCAAATCAGGTGAGATTCAACAAGGATAAATGCAAAGTCCTACACTTGGGGTAAAATAACTGCATATTAAAAAAAAAGCCAACAGCATACTGAGTTGTATTCATGGGAGTGTCACTCACAAATCAAGGAAAGTAATTCTTTTACTCTGCTCAGCACTTGCGAGGCCTCACCTGGAGTACGGTGTCCTGTTTTGGGGCCCACACTTCAAGGATGTAGACTGTTTGAAAACACTCTAGCGCAGAGCAACGAAAGTGATTAGGGGCCTGGGAAGCAAGACTTAGAGGAAAAGCTAAAAGAACAAGGATTATTTAGTTTGGAGAAGAGAAGACTTGTGGGGAGGGGAGGGTGGCTTTGAGAACAGTTTTCAAATACCTGAAGGGGATACAGAGAGGATGAAAATGGGCTTGCCTTAGTGGCTGTAGGGGACAGGACTAGGACAGTGGCCTCAAGCTGCAGCAAAGGAGATTTAGATGACAGATTAGAAGGAACTTTCTGACCATGAGGGTGGTCAAGAGTAGGAACAGGCTACCTAGAGAAGTGGTGGAATTTCTATCCTTGGAAATTTTTAAGAGCAGGCTGGACAGACACTTGGCTGGTATAGTTTGGTCAGGGACGATCCTGCCTTGAGCAGGGGGCTGGACTAGATGACCTTGTGAGGTTCCTTTCAGTCTTACACTCCTATGATCTGCTAACATTCAAGTTACTCACAGCTACTTGCATGTCTTTACAGTAGCTATCCTTAGATTCCACAAAACATTACTGGCCAGAAGCTCTCAGAAAGAATTTCCAGATGCCATAGTGCCCAGAATCTTTATGAATGGGCACACGTACCAGCCTAGTTCATATATTATATCCCAGGGAATTATGCACAGAAAAATTCAAAATTATAAAGGATCTTTTTTTTTTTTTTTTTTACAAATTAAACTAAATATAAAAATATTAGAACCTTCTTTAGAAATATATGCAGGTACTTGCGTGCATGGTGGGGGTTGGTTGTGTGTGGGGGGAGTTTGTGAAGGTATGGGAGTGTGGGTGTATGGGGGGTTATCAGGGGGTTGTGAAGGGGTGTGTGGGGTTTGTGGGTGGGTGTGGGCTTCCCTGCCACGCGCCTGCCACCGTGCACCCGCTCTGCCTTATGCCCCCCTCGCTCCTACAAACAGCCCCCACTGCCACCCCCTGCCCAAACAGCCCCTGCCACCAGCAGCTTCTTGGGGTGCTCCTAGCTATAGCAGGCAGATCCCCCAGTGGTGTGCAGCTCCGGCAAATCCCAGGGGTTGCATGCGGTGGCATGGAGCCAGCCCAGTTCAGCTTGCTGACAGGTGTCTTTGGGCCAGAATGGGCTGGCTCCATGCCAGCATGTAGGGGTTGAAGCACTGCAGGCAGGAACTAAATGCAGTCCTAGGCACTCAGCTGCAGCTGCGCACTGCCAGGAGCTCTGCCTGTCCTGGCCAGGAACGCCCCAATGGCCTGCAACTGGCTGCTGCTGCTGCTGGCAGAGGCTGTGCACCATAGGGTGGGGGGCATGAAGTGGGGAGCCTACACACACCCCCATGCCCACCCCCGCCCCCTTCTGTAGGCAGTAGCTGCCCTTCCCATTCACCAGCTACACCCAGGGAATTACGTGATATTAAGCGATTATGTACAGCCATACATTTTACATGCCAAATTACACATGCGCATAATTGCACAATTCCCTGGGGCGTAACATATAGCTGCTATATAGATGATCTAGGCTGGTATCTTTCTTCCTTCCTGCACCCTCAGACATTCGCTTTGCTGTGTACCTTTTTCTATTTGTTTGTAATTTTGGACACAGCAAGATAAAAGCTGTGGGTTTTTTTCTCTATATATACACATTACCTAATCCAGTATTGTGTGCTGTATAAAAAGTGAACAACACTTCACAGCTCATGTCCACAGGGGCTCAGAACCAAGTGCCATTTTCCCCACGTGTACCCGTCTTTAAATTTTCTTCTGAATTGTATTTATGGTGTGCTCTAGGGAATTTTTAAATAGATTAATGAAACTATTATGACAGGTGAATGGAAAAAGAAAGTAGTATTTGAAATGTGAAGGAACCCATTTAACAAACTCATACAGATCTGAATTATAATAATCTGAAGGTACTTCCTGCTGTTTCAATAATGAGAATTTGGTTTAAGTAACATCTGCTCCTTAAGGTTTGGAGTTTATTTAGCCCACGATTCAAATACTGATTTAGCCAGAAGCTCTACTATTTGGCTATTTCTCAGGATTTAGGACAATTGCACTGAGAATGATTTGGCAATCTTACTTGTGGGTTAAAGAATCCTGTCATCCAGAACTGATTTGGTCGACCATCCAGCAGCCAACTGCTAAACTGCTGGTTTCTCTCAAGAAGCTCAGTAAACCAAAACCCCAAAGTTGCGGACTCCCAAGAAATTTTGAACCACAGCTTTGGAATTCTGGCGTCATACATATTATCCAGTGCGTCACGCAAATCTTCTGACATAATAATGGTTCCTGAAAGATAAATAAAAAATTCAGAATGAGACTTACCCTGACTTTCAAAATAAATTTAAACTTATAAAACAATATTCTGAAACCAAAGGAGCTTCTGTTGTTCCTAATTACAAAATTGTTAAAATGGAGTCTTGTGTTTTCACATAGCAAATATCTGCAACAGGACTCAAACCATGGTTAATAATGACCAAATCATGTTTATTATGAGTATAAATCACGATTTTTTTTCCTGACAAGTTTTTTTCCCCCTCATTGATATTCATACCTCTGCTTGGAAATCTGAATAATTACAAAAATAGTTTAATATCCACCTTCTGTATAACATAATTGATACACATATTCTATATATGCCATCTATATTTTCAGTATGTATTGACAGCTGAGAATCCATTCATTGCCATTAATTGTTATTGATAATGTCTCCATGCATTTTCATTATCAAGAGTCCCCAGCACTGTAATATTAGCTGAATGTGGGATACAGGCAAGAATTTTCCTTTTTCAAGTGGCACAGCAGACACATGTTCTACATATACTAAAATGGCCTGCATTAAAAGTGGCACTCATTGCTTATACCATGCTTCATCAGTGCCAGCACATCAAGCAAGTCAAGCTGTTTGGCATCAAAGAACAGTTCCATGAAAAACCTGGCATATACCAACTTCCAGAAAGACAAGATCATTACTTAGGGTAATTTCAATGCTCATATTGAATCAAACCATCTAACTGGGTAGGTATTATTAGTAAACGTGGCTTTGGAAAATGCAACCACAATGGTCTTTATTCCTAACAAAATTTTCCACACATATCTTTATAATTACAAACAACTGGGGTTTTTTTTGTTTTAAATAAGAACTGAGCTTCATAGATCTTTCCTGCTCCAAACACTGGCATTTGACTGATTACTTCACTGTCAAGAAAGAAGTTGCTTAGTCCATTGCATTATCCATGCAAAGCTCCATTTGTATCAAGCCACCTAACAAGACTTTAAGGGAAAATGTCTCTGAAGAAGTCATATATCAAAAGATTGAAGTGTGATACTGTAAAGCAAGAGCTACAGAAGGCAGTAGAATTGCAGCTAAATATTAGTATTAAAACTTCTGGCAACAAGGAAGCTGATTGCAGGTGCTTCAAGGAGCCTGTGCACACAGCTGTTGTGAACATTCTAGGAATGGTGTTCTATTCTTTCCTGGCCATCTGAGTAGCCATTTTGGACACCTAGGCTAGGGACAGACATTACACATAAACCGGTCAAAATGATGAAAAACTGGTTTAAACCTATAACACAACAGCCATTCAGCGCACATGAACCAATTTCAAAATGGCTGAAGCTGGTTTACGATAAACCTGTTTGAATGTCGTATCAGACTTAATTGATTTGGGTCAAGCCAGTTTATACAATGTCTGTCCCAGACCCCTTCCTGGTTTAAGTTAAGCCAGAATCCCACATGCTTTGCAGCCCTGGGCTGCAAAGAACAGGCTGGGCCTGCCCCTCTCTTCCCTGGCCAGAGATCCCGGGAAGACTGCAGGCCCAGCAGAATCTACTTGGTTTCCCTCACTGCTCAAGCAATAATTCCCCCCTCCCTCCCATCTCCCACACCTCAGACCCAAGCCCCATGGACCCTAGTCATGTGGTATGCTACCTAATGCTGAGAGGGAGGGAGGGAGTGTGTGTGTGTGTGTATGTATCTCCAACTTCGTTGGGACAGGACAAAGGCAGACAGAACAGTGTCTACTTAGGGCTTTTTGAAGCTAATCAAGAGGTCAGCTGGTAATTTCCCTCCTTGGAACAAGGTGTTTAAGAAGAGCTTGAACTAATGAGAGGGGCTTTTGTTTTGCTAACAGCCTGATAAACACTGTGGTTTTATCAGCCCCTCCTGCTGGTCTGCAGCCCTGTCAGGTTTGCAGACAGGGAGAGGGAGACTGAAAAGCTTGGTATTATCAACAGATGCATGCACTGCACATCCTGCTTTGCCTCAGAGTGCTAGCAAGGGCCTGGGGTTCGGCAACACTCCTGTCCCTTGACAAGTGAGCCGGGGAAAAGCCTGAGATGGTGAAAGCCAGGGTGGGGGTTTAAACCCCTCCCTAATCAGGGCATCCTGCCAGGGCCTGGCCACCCCACCCCACCAGCTCAACAATGTCAAAGGGAAGGGATGGCTGCTTTAGCACTCCCCTCCCCCACCCCCATCCCCACCCCGGGCTTCTATCCTGAGCTACTGCATGCCATTTAGGTGACTGGGAAAGAATAGCATGCTAGTAGGGATGTCCAGGAACATCAAGACTGGTTCAGTGAGAATGCTACAGGTACAAAGAAATCATTTGAGAAACATCACTAAAATTCAATTTAGATAACTGACAAAACCTCAGCACTCAAAAATGTACTTTTTATAATATGCATAACACTCCAATCTAAACTGAGAGCTATGCGTGATACCTGGCAAAGCAAAAGAGCAAATGAGTTACAGTCATACTTTGACTGAAGTGATACAAGGAAGTCCTATGGTGGTTTTAAAACAGTGAATAAACCTCATCCAAGTGTTTCCATCCTTGTTATGAAATCTGATGGAAACGCCCTCCTGACTGAAAAGAACTAAATCTAGAATGGCAGGCTGTCCTCTTCAAAAACCTGCTTTCCGTGGAATCCAGCATCAGGGATGTGGCCACTGATCAACTCCCTCAGCAGCATACCATCAATTAAATTCTTGCCAATTAATCTATCACTTTAAGGACTGTAAAGGCAATCATACTGATCTAAAGTAGCAAAAAACCTGGCGCTCATGCTATTCCAACTGAAGTCTATATAACTGATAAAATTATTTAATCTAGTCTCTCACAGGACATGTGTACATCATCTCTGTAATGAGACTACAGCTCAAAACTGAGCCCCACCAACCTGCTCCTGCTGCTGCTGCTGCTCTGCATGCTCCAAACCCAGAATGGAGGTTCTGCAAACCCTTGAGGGACATCCCCTGCCACCACTCTCAAGGATGCTAGAGACACTGATTTCAAGAATGGTGATGGGGACTGCCTCTAGAGCAACCTCACCACATCAGTTTCAGGTTTAGAGTAGGGAGAGTGGGAAGGGGTGGGTGGGTTTTTGGTTTTGGTGGTAATCTCAAGACACTGCACAGGAAGTGTCCATAGTGCTCTTTTGGGTGATATGGCATAGTGGAGCAATCTGCCAAAGTACAAAGGTACTTCTATGTTTCATATATAAAGTATTATATATGAATAACACACACACACACACACACCTCAAGATCGCAGAAAGCAACTAACAGCATGGGGAATATGTATATGAGTAATAGAAAGTATCTTTGTACTTTTGCAGATTACTTCATATAGGTTGCTGCCAGTTCAGGCATGTATATAAGCATCCATGCAAACAAGGCCATACATTTATATAATGTGCATATGTGACCATTGCCAGGGCATTTCATTATATATATAATGTTCTGTTTATATATAAGATTCCCTGACAATGGTCACATATGCACATATATGGATATATGGCCCTGTGTTCATGGATGATTATGTATGTACCCAAACTGGCAGCAATGAAATATGATGAAGTATGAGTGAAACACCTCTCATCATTATGTATGTGTGTGTGCATGCATGTGTGACCATTATGAGGGAATCTCCTTACTAATGGTTGCTGGCAAGATCCTTGCAAGCACCATACTTAGCTTCTTCACTTGCCATATTGCAGGGAAATTTTGCCCACCAGTAAATAAGGATCAAGGAAAAAATATCCAACCTTTGTTGTACAGCAAGTGGAAGAGAAATAAAAAAGAGCAGAATATTGATTTAATCTGTGTCTTTGCTGATTTTACAAAGGCATTTGACACAATCAGCAGAAAAGGCTTCTGAAAATTTCTAATATTGGGCAGACCAGGTGTCCTGACATATACATTGTAATGGTTAGACAAATTCATGATGGGATGATGGAACGAGTGATGGGAAGTGAGACTATCTCCACGCCATTTCTAGTGGCAAACATATAAGAAGGCTGTGTCCTTGTACCCATACTATTTAGTGTCGTTTGTTCACATACTGCTGGTTGTTTTCTGTGGTCTTGATCTAACTATCTGGACTAGATTCAGAACTGATGCATAGCTATTTAATCCCTGATGTCTGTGAGTGAAAACAAGCTTGCACACATACAAAGTTGTTTTCACTGGGTGATGACTCTGCCCTAGTTGCTCGTTCTCAGGAAGATATGCATTGCAGCTACATGCTCACATTTTGGACTGATTATTAGTTTTAAAAAGTCAGAGGTTATATATCAACCTGTGTCTGGTAAACCCTACATACCACCAATCAATGGCATATGCTTCAAGCTACAGGTGAATTGATCCATCTGGGTCATTCTCACACAAAGTTCATTCAATGATGAAGTTTCCAACAGAATCACTATAACACAGACAGACTTCAAAAGATTACATGAACATTTAAGAGATAGAGAGGTATAAATTGCAGACAAAATTAAAAAATTCTAGAACCATGTGAAGCACGAACAACCTACAGCTATCATGTCAAGCAACTGAAACATTTCCATCTAAAGCAGCTAGGAAAGCTAATGAAAAAGATGGCATAAGAGAATTCCAAATACTAGAGTACTCCAGAGAGTAAATATATGTCAGATATACTATGATTATGAAGGTACAACTGAGGGGCTGGACAAATGTAGTCAGAGTGGCTTTAAAAAAGGAGGACAAACTTCTGGTCACACTGTGACTATAGCAAAACAAGTATAGCAAAAACATTCCAACTTTTACATTGCTTTAACTCTGTCAAAGTTAGGGTGATTTAGCTCACTTGTATCCTATAGTAGGAGTGCTTAATCCCATCTGGCCAACAACTGTGTCATCTGGCCCATGGGGCTTCTCACGGGTCTGGAATTTTGCAGTGGGGGGGAGCAGTGGCACCACTCCTGTGCTGCCAAATTTCTGGACCTGCGGGGAACCCTGGCTCTACACACTGAATTAGGCGCACCAC